CTCATGCCACTGAACATGTACATTCTTTTACTTTTCATTTCTTTTTCTTGAGCTGTGAGAATTTGGAGTTTGAAAATGGCATAAAAACTAGGTTAGGATTTGGGGGAGGAGAAATTCTCCCTCATCTTAGAGAGTTAGATCAAGTTATGCACATGGTTAGAATCGTCTCTTCATGCTGAACATTTTTTATGTTATGAGTTTTTGTTAAAAAGCCAGGAATCAGGAGTTAAGGATTGATGAAGAAAGGCGCGCATTTTTTGAATTGTTTGGTCTGAAGGTTGAAGACAACCATTTTCTGGGCTGGGCCTGTTTGTTATTCCTTTTTGCACCATACATTTACTTTTGCACCCCCTGAGCCCATTTTGTTATTTTTAATGATTTTTTGACTTTTTCTTTTTTGGTCTGACTTGTTTATTTTTACTTATGATATTAAAAATCTAAAAATAAATTTTTACACCATTTTTCTATTTTTTAGACATTTATTTGATTATGTTGACATTTATACATAAATATATATATACACACTATTATTTAGAAAACTAGAAAAAAATAATGCAAATATATTTTCTTTTCTGATTTTTATTACATTTTCCCTTTTGAAAATATTTTATACAAAACATATTTTTTTTATATAAATATTAATTATTATCATTTATATATATATGATATTTATTTGTAAATAATATAAATATATAGGTATATTAATATACTTAGGAGAAAATATCAAAAAATGTGCATATTTTATTTTTTTAATATTTAATACTAAAAAAGGCCTTTTTTACAAATATACCATATTTTATTTTATTTTTGTATGTAAATAATAAATATTATATGAATTGATTAATTAATGTCCCTTTTGATTAAAAAAATTAGGGTTTTGCCCTAAATTTGAAAATACCTCAAAAATAATACCTTTTTATTTTCTTTTTTTATTTTACATAAATAATACTTTTTTTCATACATATAAAAATTCCTTTTGCATTCTTGCATATTTGTTTTATTTACCATTTAAATTATACATTTATTTATCTTGTAAATATTCATAGAAAATGATGTAATAGCTTAGATTCAATTTCTTGTCTAAATATCCCCATTTGAAACATTGTACCCCCCTCCCCATATTATTGTGTTGTAATAGCGTAGGATTTTAAATTTCGCACTTTATCGCTTTCTAAACATACTATGCTAGAATTAGGGTTTTGTATGCGAATAAAAATGAACAAAATAGTTGGACCTAATACAAGATAAATGAGCATGAAAAATGGACGACACATTTCACACTTGCACCCCTAGGGTATTCCACTTTGTTGCCTTCAAATAATTGGGCCATATTGTATGTTGAATTTCTTTGGGTAAAAACAAACAATCAAATGATCATAGTCCCACAAAATGTTGCTTAAATGAATGATCAAGTCCCTTTTAAAGAAAATTGCCCAAAGACATTTAACACTATTGCAACTATGGTCTAAACGATGACCCGCGCCCGTCCCTTTCATCTCCTAAAACAAGATTGTCCACCAAATGCAATGGTGGAACAAAATTGTCAAAAGGTTTAAAACATAACAAAAACCTTTGAGAAAACTTTAGGGTAGATAAACTCTTAAGTACTTGTCAACTTTCCAAGAAAACACTTGCCTTATTTCAAAACCCACTTCACAAACACTTTCAAAACAAACTTTCAGAAAAACCTTGAAACATCTTTTCAAAAAGACAAACACCTTTTGTAAAACATTCGAGTAAAGAATTGTTACAAGGGTAGCCTATACAAGGCATCTTTTTTAAAACCTTTTCAAAACCACACACAAAGCACCATTTCAAACAATTGAAAACCAAGGCAAGTTGATCTAAGCAAGTACCTAAGAGCCCATGGATAACCATGGATAGAAGGGGTGCTAATACCTTCCCCTTCTATAATCTACTCCCCGAACCCAAGAAAAATCTCAAAGGTTTTTGCTGTGCTTTTTAAACCTTTCCTTAGGATAAAATAAAAAGTCGGTGGCGACTCTTGCTCAACCGAAACATTTGCGAAAACGAACACAAAACCCTAGTCAGTTCTCCCACCGTATCACAGTTACTGTCATCCATCAATTGCCTAAAAGCCAACTGGTTGTCTGTGGTTAAGATAAGCATTGTGCTATAACCCACTGACCCTTGGTTATTTGTCATAAACTGATTCGCCCCAGACCCAGACCCTAGTTGTGGAGATGAATTCGATGTGGAATTGTGTAAACCTGCCATAAAAGATGTTGGCATTCCATAAGAGGAATTTCTGGTTCTATTCCCATCGAAACCGGGTGGTCTAGTTATCGGAGTGGCGAAATGGAATTGTGTCCCTGGTGGTGGAACGAATCCCCCAGGGTAACAACGGTTCCAGTATTTCCTAAGATCGAACTATTAGTTGATATGCCACTTACTCCATTGGTGGCTACGTTACTGGTTGAAGATGCAACAGACTGTGCGTTCGAAGGGATTACATTAGATGTTCCGATCGAAGTGGACGCATTAGTGCCTGTTGTATGTGGGCCATTTTGGTCCCCTTGTTGATTGTCAGAATTAGACATTTTGTCCAAACGTTTTCTTCTGGATAAAGGTTGGTTGCTATTGGTTATCTTACCACTTCTCAGGATCATAAAACAGCAAACTTCTTAGGTCCCACCAGGTGTGCCAATTTGTTTCCAGTGATTTCTGGTAAACAACCGCTAGTCTTCCAAACTATCGAATAATCTTTCTGACTGTTATTCAATCCCTCTGGTAACTCGCAGGATCGACTAGATTGATCCTAGGACTCCTTGGATATTAAGGTTACTCTCACGATCGAACAGATATTCATGGTTGATATTTGAGTGTTTGGCTTATTTCGATTTCTCTCTCTAAAAGTCTAAAGATGTAATCAAAATGTGTGTGTGAAACTAAGTTGCATGAGTAAATGTTAATTGTAAAGACATGTGCAATTGCATAAAAGTCAAGTAAATGGTTTCGAATTATAAAATAATTAATGTAAAGAAATTCTGGAACGTAAAAGGTTTGAAATATGAAGAAAGCGTTTAATGCAAGAAATCTGTAAATGACTTTAAGTAAAAATATGCGTTCGAAGGATAAAACTTGAAGGTAAAGGTATGGAAAATATGACAGTTTTCTAAAATGTAAATTGCTTGAAATATGAAGAAAGCATTAAAATGTAAAACTTTGAAGAAGAGATTTCGAAGTGACAAGATTGTAAATGAGAAAACTTGTAAATGCTATTTGACAAAAAGATAAAGGAAAGTGCTGGGAATGGTAAAAGGTTTTCATTAAATCAGAAATACATGGTGCTATCATACATACATTTCTCTTGCATTCGTTTCCCTTGCCATGTGGTAGTTTGAATGTTACTGAGTATTTTGTATAATAGATATGACACACGAAATCCTAATACTAAGACTTCTATTTATACTAATTCGACCATAACGGTCTTGCTATAGGATTATGCCACGTTTAGAACATGCAGGACAATGCCTCTTTCGTCTTTCCACGTGTCCCCAAATGCACCAGCACATAACTTTCAAACTTCGAAAGTCCCGCTTCCATTTGAATTTCAAATGCTTTGGTACTTCTCTGTTTCTAACGCTCTTCCCAAACACAGCCTTGTTGTTATTTCGAGACTTCTTTAGATATGTTCCCATAATTGCCACTCGAAGCTCCAAGCTTTGACATACTCATTCGAAACACTGCTTCTGCTACTTCGAAACATGGCTCTTTACCTCATTTCGATCGAAACGCTTAATTCATTTGGCTTCTAATATCATTATCAAAATCTTCAGCCAACAATGTGTTGGTCATGATCCAATGTGGACGCTCTCCAGATTACCTAATAGTGATATTAGAGCCATGTTTGACTCGGTGGAGAAGCGAAAGTGGATCCTATTGTAGATCAAGGCTAGTGATGTGAGTGACTCACACTTGTGGGAGATTACTTTTGGGGGAGATTATTGGGTTTCAAATGTGAAAGTTGGACTAAAATACCACATCGACTAGAGAACTCACACACCTATCACCTTAAGATTTTAGGTGAATATGTGACATCGACTAGGTGAACTCACACACTTATCACCTTAAAGTTTTGAGTGAATATGTAATGTCTCTTTCACTTATGTGTTGCTTCAGTGGGCGAGCGGAAGGCTCGGTGAGCGAGCGAAAGTGAATCCTAGTGTGGTTCAAGACTAGTGATGTGGATAATTCACACTTGTAGGGGAGATTGTTGGATTTCAAGTGTGAAAGTTTTAAAATCCCACATCGACTAAGAATCGACTAAGAATAGAGAAAATGTTGAATTTATAAAAAAAATGACTCATACCCCTATTGCGTCAGTCAAAATTTTGAATAGATATATAGTGTTAAATGTCTCTTATAACTATAAACATTTTCAACAAAATAGTATTAGAATTCTTGTTGGCTCAGTGGATGAGCGATAGGCTAGTGATGGAAGTGGTGTATTGCTAGGATGAAGAAAGCTTGAAACACAAGGGTGCGTGAAACATCGAGGAGTAGTCAAATTCTTACTATTAGACGGAGTTTTAAAATCCCTCGTTTTTGTCAAGAATAAAATGATTTGTAAACTCATGGATTTCTAAAAATACTTTACCTATAAATTTAAGTCATCTTAATTCCCTTAAAAAATTATATTACCCCGTTAAAATCCTCTCCAAAACACAGTCTAAATGCATTAGTTTTGTCATCATATACTCATGTTACATAGTTTGATGATCAAATTATGTGTGGCTATTGTATCTGCCTACAAGCTTCTACCAAAACCTTCCTGTTTTTACTTTTAAATAAGTGGATCAAACACATAAAACATGATGTTTTACAATCAACCACTAAAATATAAACCAAGGACTGTACCATAAAAAAGAAATAAATATTACCAAAAGGATGGTCGGATAGCAAAGGATAATCTAAATTCATAACATTGTGAATATATTGAAATTTTCCAAAATGAACCTAACTTCAACTTGTATTCTCTAAGCCTCCTTACGCAAATACAACTTGCCAATCACGTGAAGGATAGCAACAAATGCTATAAACCCAATGCTCATAACAAGAACCACATTTGGGGAGATCTTGAGTCCAGGGGCATCATCAGTGTAAAATTGAAGCATAGTCCCCGCAGCTCCTCCAGAAGCCCCACCACCCGGTGCCTTCCTTCTCCTCATGCTAGCCGTAGCTGCTGCACTTCCTCTTGCGGGAGCTGCTGAAGCCATTTTCTGAATCACATTTTCAAACATTTGGAATGTTAAACTAAAACCCACAAGCATCGACATCAGATTCTAGGGACGCAAGTTCAAACCCATGACTTACCGCTTATTCACTTTTAAAGGGTGAAATGCCAACATTTAGACTACTTGATAAACAAAACTAAAACCCACAAGAAAAACCTTGTAAAAACACATACAATTAACCAGAATTTGAAACCAGTAAAAATGCAATGCATAGCACAATCCTACAAGCAACAGATAGTAGATAGTTCTGGCAGTACAATATTGATTTTTATAAATTATTAATAAAAAAATATTATATCTAATCCTGTACACTTCAAACATAACAATCATAGCAAGTTAGAAAACTATAACAATATTGAAGATCTGCAAAGCTTTGTCCTCTATAAAGGTTTTAAAAAACAGTCCGTTACGGCAAAAACGACCGCGACAAAACAGTATTAAAAGATGCCGATACCGTCATTCATCGTTTTTACAATAAAGAAAAAATTGTGGTTAATTCACACCGCGACGACCGCAATCAGTTTCCCAATACTTGTACTGACTACTGACCGAAATCGCAAAAGCCTTTACACGACACCATTTTTAAAACCTTGCACTGTATAGCAAAGGAACCCTACCAATATCCGAAAATAAATAACTAATCCGTGCACCACTCTATATTTCTCCATCCAAGTTAAATAATTCCAAAGCCTCAAAATTGATCTTTCAATAAGGGATCTTTCAATACCTCAGTATTCATGCAATGAGAAAAAACCTCAAACACTATCCACAAACATCATATCTTCGTATAGATTACAATAAATGCGCGCAGAATCATCAGGAAAGAAAATTGGAAATCACAGTTCAAACTAAATCAATACAGACAAATAAGAGGAAAAAAGTAACAATTCAAATCGAAGAAATCCACCAGCAATACATGCAAATAGCAAAAATTCTGACGAGTAAACATCACGAACCTTTAAAGCAAATAGATAGCAAAGCATCAAAAGCAATCTCATATAACCATAACAGATCCAGAATTACACAACTAAAACACCACAATTTAACAGTTTTCAAACAAATTTCCATGATTACACAACAAAATCACCAGATCTACAATGCATCAAGAAAATTAGGTTACAAAACCAAATAAATCCGAAATTCAAACGCAATTCAGATCGCAAACACCGATTGAAAAAAATTCAAAACAAGTCAAAGCATGCAAATTAAGAGCGATAAGCTGAGAAATGATCATCGAACAACATGCATCAACGAGAGACAGAGATCAAATTGAAGAGAGAAAGTGAAAGAGTTTTTACCTGAGTTGAAACGGAGTTCGCTCGTTGAGGATGAACAGCTGCGAAGACAAGTCGATAGGCAGAGGAAATAAGTCAATAGTGATTTCTCAAAAAATTAGATATATTTATATTAATTCTAGTATTCTACCCACGGAATATCTTGTTGATTTTTTAATTAATTTTTAATTTAATTTTTGTCAATATAAAGTAAAATCTAATTGATCTTTTCATTTATTTGATTTTATTTTAAAATATTTCAATTTATCATTAATTAATTGATTTAATGATGATTGGCCGTGAATTTGCCAAAGAAAATCACAAGATTAGAAAGAGTTAAAACCGGTGGTAAAAATTTATAAAAAAAAACAATTTTTTAATCTAAAAAGATGCTTTTATTTTAAAATTAAATGCTTTCAAATTTATACCATTTTAAAAAATTATCTACTTTCTTAAAAAAACAAATCTTATATAATTCGATTCATCCATCATCGCACTGATATGATAATTTAGTTTTCTTTTTTATAGTTTTTTTTCAAAAAAAGATTAATTTTTAAAATATAATTTAATATTTTTATTTTTATTTTTAAGTGAAAAAAAATTCAAATTTCATCTTATTTTGAAAGTGAATCTTCATTAACATTAATATAGAGAGAAATACACAAACATAAAACATTAACATTTCTCATCTTAAAAGAAGAGGGTGGCGAAAAGGAGACAAGGACGACCGCGAATCTTGGTGTCATCGTCGCCAGAAAATCGAGCTAATTCAGTGGAACCAAAAGACAAGAATGATGAAGAAGAATCTGAGAGCATAGGGGATGGTGAAAGAACAAAAAAGAATGATTAATCTGAAGGTTTAAGCAACAAAAAGAAAACTCTAGTAGCGGAACAATAGCAAGATAAAAAACAATCGAGGAAACTTTGAATGGATGTTTTGAGTGACAATCGAAACCAAAACAATGGGACGGTGGTGGAATTTATGGCTCCTAAAGTGGTAATCGGAGAAGTTGAGATTGAAATTGACGAAGGGGACATCAAGAAAAAAGTATAATACTGGGACTCATCTTTGATTACGTATGTGCTAAGAGGAGATTTGAGCATGAACATTATAAAGCAATACATGATGAGAATCTGAAACTATGTTAAATTGTCGATTATGTACCACAATGAAGAGGGTTACTTTATTTTTCGATTTCATTCATACCAAGATAGGGAAACGATGATGATGAAAGGGCCATACACAATATGTAACATTCCTATGCTGTCGAGAGAGTGGAAGCCAGATTTTAACATGAAGATATGTTGCGCACGATACCAATTTGGGTGAAACTACCCCAACTTCCACTGCATCTATGGGGAGCAAATATTTTAAGCAAGATAGGTAGTGTCTTGTCTACACCACTGGTGACAGATGAATGTACTACAAACAAATACTGAATTTCATATGCTCGAATTTTGGTGGAAATCGACATCACACAAGAGTCTGTAAAGGAAATAAACATCAAAGATATTGAGGGTCAAATAATGAAACAACCAGTGGAGTACTAATGGAAACCCGTATTTTGTGAAAAATGTCAAAAAGTAAGACACCGATGTGAAAAGAAACTAATAACAAGATACCCAAGGAAATTCAACTACAAGAGCAACAAGTGAATGATAACCCAAAATGACAATGAGAAAATGGAGAATGTAGCTTCAACATCAGCAGAAGTTATTGATGAATAGAAAGAAGTGAGAAAAAGTGGAAGGGACAGAATCAAAGGAATCATGATAAATTAACCACTAGTACAAGTCTAATGTATGAATGTATTTGAGGCACTAAGGATTTTGAATGATCCCTTAGTGATTCAAGACTCAGTACCATGGTTATTGCTTGGAATGTCAGGGGGCTAAATAATATAGGCAAGATTAAGGATATTAGACCCCGTCTCAGATGATACATTGTGCAGTGTATGATGTGAATGGTAAATTCAAGCATTGGCCATCCGCTATTTATGCCTTGAATCAACTTGAGCAGAGGAAAAATATTTGGAAAGATATTGAGAGAATACATTTCCATCAACAGGGCCCATGGTGCCTCATTGGAGACTTCAACAATGTAGTGAAAAATACATATAAAATTGGAGGGAACTTGATGACAGCAAAATAATACATTGATTTAATAAAGATGATGAGTAATACAGGGATCTTTGAAATGGATAGCAAAGGGGACTATTACACTTGGTCAAACAAGCAAGCTGAATGAACTATATATTCAAGGATAGACAGGGTCCTGGGAAATATTGATTGGTTCCAAAAAGTCACATGGGTACTAGTTTTGGAACAAGATTAGTTCATATCCTTGAAATGTTTTGATGATAACAATGTATTTAAAGAGTAATAGGTTTTACTAATGGTTGTTCAAGTATGGAGGACCAAAAGACATTACCCTTGATATAAATCAAGATAATCACTTAGAAGAATCACTAAGAGTGATGCAAAGCCATTCTAAATCTGAAGGACCAGAACCAAGATTTCATACTCTTAATTAAACTCAAGTCTCTCATATGTTGTACTAAAGCTTACTTGGAATTCTAAAGACCAACAATGCTTGAAGACTAGAACCATTTGAAGCAAGCAGACACAGTCATAAGGAATGACTATGCAACTTCTGAACAAACTTCATCAACAGTTCTCAAGTCTTTTCTTAAAAGGATTATTATCTATATCAAGTCAAAAAATCTGAAAGTATTCATCCAAATTAGTTCTGATCAAGACTCTGATAAAGGCAAGCTAAGAAACTATAAACTTAAGACTTTGTAGTCGCATTTTTACCAGGTTCTAAAGACTTACTCTAACTTTTGATCAAGATTTAAAGAATTTTATAAGAAGCCTATGATTCAGGAAGTTAAGTATAATAGATAACAATGACAGTGGAAGGTCCATACACAATATGTAACATGCCTATGTTTCCGAGGGAGTGAAAACCAAATTTCAACATGAAGAAAGATATGTTGCGCACGATACCAATTTGGGTGAAACTACCCCAACTTTCATTGTATCTATGGGGATCAAATAGTTTAAGCAAGATAGATAGTGTCTTGGCTACACCACTGGTAAGAGATGAATGTACTACACACAAATACTGAATTTCATATGCTAGAATTTTGGTGGAAATTGACATCTCATAAGATCCTGTAAAGGAAATAAACATCAAAGATGCTAAGGGTCGGAGAATGGAACAACCAGTGGAGTACTAATGGAAACTTGTATTTTGTGAAAAATGTCAAAAATTAGGACACCGATGTGAGGAGAAACTAATAACAACCAAACAATGGATACCCAAGGAAACTCAACTAAAAGATAAACAATTGAATGATACCCCAAAAGTTGACAATGAGAAAATGGAGAATGTAGCTTCAACACCAACAGAAGTGAGGGGTGAAAGAAAATAAGTGAGAAAAAGTGGCAGGGACAAAGGCAAAGGAATCATGATAAATGAACCACCAGTATAAGTCTAATGTATGAATGGATTTGAGGCACTAATGATTTTGAGTGATCCTTTAGTGATTCAAGACTCAGTACCATGATTATTGCTTGGAATGTCAGGGGGCTAAATAATATAGGAAAGATTAAGGAGATTAGCTCCCGTCTCAGATGATACATTATGCAGTGTATGGTGTGAATGGTAAATTCAAGCATTGGTCATCAGCTATTTATGCCATGAATCAACTTGATCAGAGGAAAATCTTTGAAAAGATATTGAGAGAATGCATTACCATCAACAGGGCCCATGGTGCCTCATTGGAGACTTCAATAATGTAGTGAAAGCAGTAGATAGAATTCGAGGGATCTTGATGACAGAAAAATAATACATTGTTTTAATAGAGATGATGAGTAATACATGGCTCTTTGAAATGTATAGCAAAGGGGACAATTACACTTGTACAAACAAGCAAGTTGAATGAACTATATATTCAAGGATAGACAAGGTCTGGGGATTTTCAGACCCTTGAAATGTTTTGATGATAACAATGTATTTAAAGAGTGTTGTACCATAAAATTTTCCCTCTCATTTCTCAATGCATTTCTCACAATAATTCTCAAAATTCAAGCTTGCACAAGTACAATTGTATTTTTCAGCATCAAGTTAAAGAGGAAACTGTCAAAAAGGGGCAAAGCAGATAAAAATAATCTTTTGACAAAATTGGAGAAAAAATAAGTTTACTTCGACTCACAAGGCTTCGATTGGATTTTGGTCCCCTGCAAGCCTTCTTCGATTTCCCTTGCTTCAATTGGACTATGGTATATTTCATGCCTCCTTCGATCCATCCTTTGTGCCTCCTTCGATCCACAATGCAATGGTTGCCTGCATGCCTGCTTCGATTGGACATTTAATACTTGCATGCTTGTTTCGATCGGACAAATAATTCCCTCCATGCTTGCTTTGATTCACAAAGTAATGGCTAACTGCATACAACCTTCGATTGAGCAATAGCTTCCTTGTTGCATGCTTCAAAGCAAGAGGCTCCCACCAGGCCAGCAAGCACAAGGAAAAGAGCCTTCTGTAGCCTCTTTCGATTCAAAGAGTAAAAGCCTCTTGTTGATGTCCTTCGATCAAAAGGGGAAAAGCCTCATGTTGATATCCTTCGACTCAGAAGTTGAGAATTTCCTACCAGTCTCCTTCGATTCAGAAGACAAGTGCCTTCTTTACACTTGTTCCCAATTTACAAGACAAGGATCTTCTTCATCCCAGCAGGCACAAGGAAAAATCCTCCTGCAACTATCCTTCGACTCAGAAGCCAATAGTCTTGCATGTCTGCCAAATTCACAAGGAAAAAATTTCCTTTCATGCTAGCGCTTGCAAAGCAAGGGACCTCCTGTATATGAGTTTCGATTCCACCCTTGAAAATCTTCAACACACAATTTCTACACCATGACACACACCTCGGTGTCCCATTCGAAGGACACTGTGACATACCTGGGTGTCCCATTCGAAAGACACTTATCGAGTGAAAATAAAATAGTATTGTCTGAAGAAGAATCTGGTCGAAAGTTGGACTTAGGTGGTCTAAACGAAAGGTTGAGATATCAAAAGATTCTTGTTGGCCAGAGTCCTATGTGTTTCCAAGTACAAGCCTGTTGCACTGGCCACAACACTCCAAAACTGCTACAAAGAAGTCCTGCAATACTGCCCCTATTCTTGCACCAAAATGGCATACAAACCTGCACCTCAAAGACTACAAGAACAGCATACCCAATTTGTTCAAATTTCTTTTGTTTTCCCTCCCAAACATCAGCCAAAATCATCTATAAATAAGAACCTACACCACATATGTTAGGGGCCCCTAGATAGTGAAAAAATTATGTTTGTGAGAAAAGTTATCAATCTCTCAAAATTCTAAAACACTATCAAATGTTCTCAAAACATTTCAACTCTAAAAAGTTCAGATCCTTTCATACACTAAGTAAACCTTTTCGATTCTCTCCTTAACTACCAGATAACTAACCTTCGACCCATTCCCCAAATTACAGCATAATAGTCTTTTGATTCACTCCCTAGACTGTTATATAATAACCTTCGATTCACTCACCACCATCATATACTCTCCTTCGATTCAGTGACTGCCCAAATAGAGCAGTAACTAAACTAGCTTCAGGAAAATTCCAGCGAAGTTCCATTCACCACCAAGGAAGTCACTTGTAGTTCCTTCGATCAAGCACTTCAGGAGGTAAGTTTTTACTCCAAACTTGGAACTTGTTCATTTAAATATCATTTTCACAAATAAATAAAATGAAAATGTAGATATCCCATCTAGGAAGTTGACCATGCC